CATCTAAATTAGGTAGGGGGCTGCTAGGGGTCACAATAACCATCAAACTTAGGTAGGTGGCTCCTAAGGGGTAACAAAAGTCATCAAAATTAAGTGGGGGACGGCCAAATCCTTTTGGGGCAGATTTGGGCCTTAAAACTATTAATTTGGGTCATTGGTTTGGACTCCAATTGGGCTCCTTTTGAAACACCCCCCTTTGGACCTCTTTTAAGGTCATTTTGAGCCCTATTGGTGGACTTCAAGGGCTGATTTGGTAACCCAATCTTCCTCCTCTTGGACTTCAATTTGGACTACCAAATAATTGTAAAACATGGACAATTCATCTCCTTTGGGCTTGAGCTCTTCCTCTACAATTAAAAACTTCTTTATTTGCCATTGAAGTCTAGCAACCTTAGTTTGCAACACTTTAGCTTGAGATCTTTTATATGGCCTTGGAGCTTCCAAAACTTTATCCTTGTCCTTTATGCTATCACCTAGCCAATTCACATCCTTTATCCTTGAGTAGAGTTGAGCTTCCTAGGATGCTATCATTCCCCTCTTCTTGAAGAAAATTCGTCTGCGAATTTCGACCTTGCAAGAAAAAGAAAACACGCACTAGTAAATGGTATCCACTAATCTGAAAAAATAGTAGGAATAAAACAAGATAGTGACAATGTGTCTATGTAATCCAATCAATCCTAATAGGTGTAAATACTCCCTTATAAAGCATATGGACATCATCATCCCAATAAAATTTATGTCTACCTAGATTAATATAATAAAAACCTCTCTTAGATGCACTATGTAATGGAACTTGCAATTCGATCTTGTCGGTATGGCAGTCCATGAGTATACATGATAAAGAAATTATAAAAGAGTGACTACACATCCATTTTATGTAAAGGTCTACCACATGTATCAAACAAGATACATTCATGATATAGACTACTATCTACAATTACAAATCTCAAGGATTCCTCTACATGAAAGAGTATTTAATCATCATTGTTACAACAATCATGCATATCATCTTTACTAGAAACAAATACTTTTACAAGCTTACAATGAACATGACTTGAAGAATGACTCCCCATCACACAACAAAGATCACATTCTAGCACTTTAGCACATGAAAACTCATTAGCCACTTGAATAAGATAAGAAGAAATATTTAACTCATTCGCAAGCCTCTTCTCATAAATTCCATGCCTCTTTCCACCAAGTTGGAATAAGTAATCATCTATATCATACACAATTTTAAAAGGAAGCGAATTGCTCTTGCACTTTAACTTAGATATTATAGTTAATGACTTGATGTGCATCAAAATATCATCATCTACAAAAATTATAAAGTCACCAACATAAGAAATAAGAGTGTAATTCATTACCTCCAAAAATACCTTAGGTGTTCTAGAAAGACCAAGAATGCAAATAAACCAATTATACATACCATACTTGGACTTATTTACCAATGGAACATCATCACCTTGTATTCTTTTATGCAATGGCTCCACCTTAGCAATGCTTTTAGGCAACTCCATGTCATAACCCTGTAAATAAGAATCGAAATAGTCAAAAGGTTTAATAACAAAGAATTTAATCAAGCTTTTGTCTTCCACCATCCAACAAGAATTGATATTGTCGAATTTATGTTGGAATCCAATTGGATCTTTTGCCACCATCTCTTGCGCCTCACCGCTCCTTTCAAAAGATATTTCATCACGTGGCTGCACAAAATCACAAGAACTAAAACAAGAAAGAGTTAATGGGTTAGGAAGTAAAGAAACTTTTTTCTTGCTTACACTCTATTTGGCTTTTACCGCAAGACTAATGCTTTCCTCACCCTTAACCTCTTTTCTCTCACTAAAGAGTTCTTTTCCTTCACTCAATCTCTCTTGTTTTTCTCTCTCTACCTCACAGACTTTGTTTCTTATATTGCTTTCTCTCTTTTCTTTTTTCTCAAGATCATTGTTTACCTCACTTGACATCCCACTCTTTTTACTCAAGACAACCTCTCCTTTTTCCTCTCTTGGAATGTCAACATGCACTCC